CTCCATCGCCTGGTTCACTGTTATCTAAAGCAGACTTCAGAATGAATGGCCAATTAGCTAATTAAGGCGAAGCGCACTACTCATAATCTTTACAAGTGTCAGAGCTCACGATAAGCTCCCCGTAATATTGATGGCTATTGACAATGTTTTTATAATAATAAAAAACGGATACAATTAATTTATTTTTTCGTTTATAAGCAGATTTTCGAGACTACCAGTAAATCAGTTATATTAGATGTATTCACCCTATTTCGCTTTAGGCGATAAAGGATTGGCAGTTGAATTTTCTCACAATGATATGAGTAAAGCTGATGGTTCCATTGAATTTTGCATAGCTTTGCTTCGCCAAAAGTTGTTCTCGTCCAGGGTGGATTACATTTTCGACCTCGTCTAAATCTTGTCAACACCCCCAACGGGCGTCGAACCATGACAGGGCAGCATGTAAGCTCGACACGTTTATCACTCCGCCACATTACCACGAGTGCCTTTTGGTAACAGGCCAGATGTGACTATCAAGGAAGGCCAAGCATCTTCGCATATCACATTCTTTCGTGGGACTGCTGATGAAGCAAAGTTATATTTGCTATAACAATCGACTACATTACTTAGTTTTCGTTTATAAGCAAGGTTTCGAGGCTACCGGCATTCTACTATTGCTTAAAAATGCTTGTTTCTATATTTTTACTTTCTATCCTGCACATCTCTTGAAGTTATGCCTGGATTAACTTATATTTCCCATTTTCCTCATTGGCCTCTGTGTCTTATTCTTCGACAGCCTGCCTCCCGAGTGGTGGTCTCCTGACGCCTGGTAAACTTGGCCTCTCCACCTTGTCTTCAAGTCCGGTCGGGGGCTCCTCTGGATGCCTAAACGGGACGCAATTGGCCTGCAATCTAGGTCCAGGAAGCGGTAACTCCCTTGGTTCTGTTGGCACTAACGGCATCAGCAGTCCTCTTGATCCATCTCTAGCCCCAATGGACGAACATGCCTGGGCTGAACTGCATTCTCGACTAGCCTCAGATCCACGCATCACGCAAGGACGGCATTGGACGCAGTATCGAGAAGCGCGCGAATGGACTCGTGCGACTTGCGCCCTCATGTCAGCAGTGTTCACGCGTGACCAGATGGCTACTTGCACCGTCTTGGGTCGAGGAGGCGGCGGTGGTGGCAACAATATTGTTAATTGCATTGGCGCTATGCATGACTCATCGACTGGGGCCGTCGTCTCGACTTCAATACCCCCCAATTCTAGTCACCAGCCCAGGCCTCGGCTCCCAAGTCAGATGGTCAGCTATGTTGTCTGTAAGCTACAGTAGCCCTAGCAGGGCTATTTTTTATTTGAGCATTCATTTTATTGCATACTTCAACAAATTCAACCGACCTCAATGATGACTATAATGTGTTTTTTTTTAATTTCCGACTTGCTGAATGTTATCCCATATAATTAGCTCGTTTTGGTCGTATTTACTTTATTCTATGGCTGATTAGAAGAAGACCTAGTGAAAACTTGACTATGAATGTATTGTTGCGACTTTCATGAAAGTGTAAGAAGAAGATCTAAGGTTGATCTCATTTCATACAATAATGTTATGTCTGGAGATTCAACGAAATCCAGTTACTCTTCACATCTACTAGTGTATTGTCTGAAGATTATTATTTTTGCTATAAGTAATTTTCAAGACAGCTCTTACTATGGATCATTATCTACTTTATCGCAGATCCCGCCCGTTCACAGGATAGTCGCCTTCGATCATGTCGTTAGCCTAGACCTCTACATGTTGGCGACCCTAGCATATATAGAAACACGAATTCGCTCTATGGGTCTACTTGTACTTCGTTCTCTTCGGAACTTTTATTGCATCGTTTTAACTATTCTTTTAATTCCTTCATCCACACCTCAATTCCACTCAGCCACCATCCATCGCCAATTCAATATTCCCCCCTCGAAGGTGCGTGCCCGAATGGCTCAGAAATGCAAAGATGAACGACGTATGCGATTCGGAGCCAAGGAACCAGCCACCTCTGTTTCGCCTGGGGCTCCTGTCCAGTCTGCCAATTCTTCTGTGCCAAGGCTGCGGCTACATCAACAGCAGCAATCGCAACAGCATCATTTGCTGCTACAGCAACAGCAGCCTTCGTTGGATAATCAGATAAGGGCTCATCCGCTCTCGGCCCAGCCTGATCAACATGCCTCAACTCCCAGCGGTCAAGATTTGACAACTTCGAGCCTTGCTGGCTCGAGCGTAGTGAGCGGTCAAGCAATCAAAGCAGGTATTTAAAATGTTTTAGTGCATCACTGAAGTACACGCTCATATGTACCAAAATTCAGCTATGAAGTCTGTCTGCATTGCTTTATACATGAGGCTACCTTTTGGTTAAAACTTTGTTGAATCCTCATTTTGATTGAACTGCAAATCTACCTTAAAGACCACTAATTGTCTTACTCAACTAAGATAAGACTAAGATTGTTGGTGCAATTTCATATTAACAAGTCCATCCAATGAACACTGATTTGGTTGGGAACGTCACGATGATTGGTAGTTTTGATGATATAGGACCTGCTACCTTGGCTTCATTTATAATGTAATAATCAAACCATCTTCGAATTGCCTAAAGTAGATTTTATTATTTATCCTGACTACTAATTATCAAATAATTCTGCTAAGAAATTTTTCGATGAGTAGAGCTTTTGGGCATTCCAAAAATTAAACTTATTTATGGGTTCTTTGGAGGACTTTAAATGTCATCTTAAATTAAAATGTTCAAATATTGCAAAAGAAATCGAATAGTAAGCTACTTATTGTCAAGTGTTTGGCAACACTTTCAATTTTTAGTTGGAAAACTTCTATTAACCCAACAATGGAAACTTATCGATTATGAAAGCATATTTTGTTATTAATCTCATTTTCACCGCCTAAGTGGCGTTTTCACTAAATGGTTCAAAATTTGCCTCTTGTTCAATGACAATGACACTTGAATTCAAAAAGAGCTTTTTCATCCAAAGAATTCAACCACTTATTATTAAATTATATGCTAGATTCTAATCTGTTCAATGGCTAAAGCATCATTTTA